GTTTCCTGAGGTTCAGGAGGAAACTCCTGTGTTTCAGCCCACTGACTCCGGCCCTGCCAATTAAAAGGGATGTAATAGACTGCAGAGAACCAAATAGGTGGAAGCTGGTGTATTTATTTCAGTGTCCAGCTGAAAAAAGTAGCTCAGGAGGATCCCTGGAAAAAAAAAACCAACCCCTTGGTTCACATCAGAAAAAGAAAGACACAAATCTTGCAGTTCATGCTGGAAAATTCTCAGCAGTGTCATCCACTCATTTTACATGTCTTTAATTCCAAAGGTGTGAAGTATTGCCTTCAGTCAAAATAAAAAGCATTTTCCTTCCAAAATTTAACCTTCAAACACAAAAATCTCAGTACCAGGTATCACACAATGATTTAATATTTTGCAGTAAGTAGGACCTGCTTCTTTTAATTATCTTTCAAACTTTGTTGAGCTGCTGTTATTCAAATTTCCATGACAGCTAATTACTGGTGGAAGGTAATAGCCATGCCATAGTGTTGCAGAACCACAAAGCTGAACTCATTAATTGTGCAACAACTGTAATAAATGCATGATGTAAAAAAAAAAAAAAAAAGAACTGCAAAAGATCAAAATTTCAACAAATTGCAATATATGAGGGATAAGTGGTTTTTAGTTAATTATAAGATTTAAGCACAGAGAAGAAATAAAAATGGCAAGTATAAGAAAAAGCTTAATTTCTTATTCATGGGTCAAATAACTTAGCTACACACAAAAAAGTTTCGTGGAAGCTGAATTACAGAGTAATGCAGACATGAAGTTGGAAGGCGTCTTGCAAGCACCAGATAAATTAACATAATGTGCCTTGGGATTGGATAATCTCCAATGACCTCTTCCATAATCCAATTTCCACTTGCTAATGCCATCTTTGAACAGTGGGGGGGTGGGTGGGGTGGAGAAGTATTGTCAAGTTCAGAAGGACACTCAGAATTGTATTAATGGACTCAATTATTTCACCTAAAAATTTTGGAAGAAACAAACTGCCATTGTATATTTCTTATGCTTGTTATTGTTTCATGGGGTAAGTGACAGTTCTTCTGACAGCTCCCAAGCCATAAATCTCTTTTGCTGGAAAAAAGTTTAAATATTGAGAGTCAGTGAGCCAAAAGTGAAGTAAAAAACTTTTAAATATGCTTGATTTTCCAGTACCTCTTTCTGGAATTCACAACATTTGATATAATTCCTGGATGACTCTCAATTTCCTTGTGTTCCTGTCCTTGTCCAGTTCCACCTCCCTCTCTTTTTTTTTTAACTTCCAATGGTTTTAAAAGTTAAATTTCATTTGCAATCTTTTACCAAAGACTGTTGATAGAAATGATTTAGTATTCATTAAATTCAATTAAGTTCATTACAACAGAGATGACCCTTGAGTTTCCCATCATAATACTTAAAATGTAAAATACAAAGACATTACTATAAATATTAATTAAACTGACATACTAATAAAAGTGTTCTAAGCATACAAATATGGTACAAGATTATTAATATAAGTTTTTATATAATCAAAAAACGGACAATGTAAAAAATTAAATTTGTGAATCAATTTGTTTTCACTGGATTTTTGTGTATATGTTCTTCATTTTAGTTATTACTACATTTGATCGATTCTTATTTGAGAAACTTTGTTTAAAACTGAACAGTAATGAGGATCTAGGAACATAATTATTATATATATTTAATGTAATTATTTATTATTGATTTCAGGGAAATTCAAACCCAGTTATAGGGCAGTCCTGTGCTAACCAGTTTTTTTTTACAAAAATAAAGAAATAAACAAAAACTCTAGTCCAAACAGTTCACAGATTATGGTACAAATGGTGTCACTAATGTCAAATTAGGATGATTAGTGCCATATTTATTTTTTTTTCTGTAACTGCTATATATTAGCATATGAAATGGTACTGAAGTAGTGCTGGGGATAGCAAAGAAAAAACCCCAAATTTCAGCCATGAAATCTATGAACAGTGGCAACAGTGCCCCAAACACTTACTCAGATGAAGCTGCAATAACTTATGGTGAATGTCAGAATGGTCAAAAAAAATGTTCCGGTGAGCCAAAGAAATAAAGACAATGTGTTCTAATTTCATAGAATTATGTTGCCAGTTTGAACATCATAAGAAGCAAAAGAGTGCTTAGCCTCAAACCAAATGAGAAAATACTCTCCCTTTGAAACTATAACCCCATCTAGTGGAACTCCCTTTCAGCAGCTGATAGGATTTGATCTATTCCTTACTCTGACTGAGTACTTTGTGTTACTAAAAACCATCAAATAACACTGGGAGATTCCCAGGTTTCCTCTATATCAGATCTCTCTCTTTGCTACTGTTATGATTACTTCATTAAAAAAGGGTTGATGCATATGGGAAGCTATTTACTTTATTTTCTGGATGAGCTCTGAAAAAACTTAGCATAACACCGTGGAAAAAGTGTTTTATGAGATGTAATTGATTATAGGTAGAAAAGTACAATGTGCAAGAAGTGTTGTCAATGCACTTATGCTCTTAGCTTGCATAAATTTCCTTCAAAGTTGTCTGTGCTTACAGAAATTAATAAATTATAAGGGACCCCAGGAGCATAAAAGAGGGTAATATTACTTTGGTGAATGTTTGGGACTAGGCTATAATGAATTTGAGCAAACCAACAAGGATTTTTCGCAGTGTGCACAGCTAAATTGCAGTACTGGACCACAGTCCACTGGTTTTGTTCTTTGCCTTTAATAAAACACAAAGAAATGAAAGAGGAAGAATGGCTTGTTGGTTCTAAACTCTTCTCTCTGGGAGCTGTGACATACCGAGAAGGAGAAAATGGTTTTGTAGCCCTTAACAGGGTTTTACTCCATAAAAATATCTAATTGTCTTTTAAACCACTTGAACTTGTTTAACCAAAACATTATGTGGAAATGAGTTTCATAATTACTGACAATTTGACTGGAAAAACATTTGCTTCTGCCTGTTTTAAACTCGCTACTTGATAATCCCATTTGGTGTTCTCCAGAAGGGAAAGGGAAACCTGGCTACCCTGGACAAGGAAAAGGGTGAGGTTCTCACCCCGAGGCTTCTATGCCTCCGACTTCAACAGCAAGTGCTCTAGCCAAGCCTCCCAAGTCAGAAAAGGCAACTGCAGAGACTGGAAGAATGAGGACCCTAAGCCCACTGTAGGAGAGGATCAAGGTCAAGACCTTCCAAGGAACCTGAATGTGCACATCAGTCCATAGGACCTGATGAGGTTCATCCCAGGGTCCTGAGGGAGACAGCAGACAAAATTGCTAAGCCACTAAATTGTGGCAGTGAGGTGCAGTCCAGGATGACAGGAAAAAAAGGGAATATAACACCCAGTTTTTAAAAAGAGAAAGCAGAAGATCTGGGGAATTACAGACCAGTCAGTCTTGTAATAGATTGTTAACTTTGTTCATAAAATCTTATGTTTATGAGGGAATAAGGAACTTTTGTTATAATTCAACAAGATAAGTTTCATGGACATCCTGTTAATTAAGCAAGTGTCAGTAAAAAAAATTGCAGACATCTTGCTAAACAAACAAGTATCAGTATTGGTAAAATTTACAGCTGATAAGAACTTCAGCTTTCATCTTTGACAAATCCCAGATGACCACTTAGCAGTGAACCACGAACTCAAGCCTCAACGCAGCCGCATTCAAAACTCGGGACTTGGAAATGTATAAAAAGGAACATTTACTACATTTTCGGTGTGTGTCTCGGGCGGGGCAATTGCCCCCCAGGCCACCCAGCGCTGTTTGCTTTATTATCGCTTGCTTAATAAATTTATCAATGTTTAATTGGAATTGAGTTGTCTAAAGTCTTATAATAACTTATTACAAGTCTCACCTCTGTGCCAGGCAAGACTGTGGAGCAGATTCTACTGGAAACTATGCTAAGGCAGATGGAAAACAAAGAGGCAGTTGGTCGCAGCCAACATGGCTTTACTAAGGGAAAATAAAGCCTGACAAATCCAGTGTCCTTCCATGACAGGCTGCAGCACTGGTAGATGGGGCAGAGCAACTGACATTGTCTACCTGAACTCACACAAAGCATTTGAGACAGTCCTGCATGACATCCTCTAAATTGGAGAGACACGGATTTGATGGAGGGACCGCCCAGCGCATAAAGAACTGGATGGATAACTGCATGCTTATGACAACCAGTTGGCCTTGCAGTACTTCTGAGAGGGGAAACCAAGCTAAAAGTGTTGTACCTGCCTGATGACGAAGGACTGAAGGGCCCAGCAAGGTTTAACGGAGCCATACACGATGCTGGTTCGGAAGAGATTCGCTTTCTGTATCAGAAGCAGTGTGGCCAGCAGGACGAGGGAAGTGATTGTCTCACTGAACTTAGCACTGGTAAGGCCAACCTTAAATCCTCTTTCAATTTCTGGGCCCCTCAGTTCGGGAAGGACACTGAGGTGCTAGAGGGTGTCCAGAGAAAGGGAATGGAGCTGGGGAAGGGTCTGGAGCTCTAGTCTGATGAGGACTGGCTGAGAGAGCTGGAGAAAAGTAGACTCAGAGGAGACCTTATTGCTCTCTGAAACTACCTGAAAGGAGGGTTTGGAGAGGTGGGGATCGCCCTTTTTTTTCCCAGGCAAATAATCACAGGACAGGAGGAAATTGCCTCAGGCTGCACCAGGGGAGGTTTAGACTGAATATTAGGGAGAACTTCTTCAGAGAAGGGACTGATTAGACACTGGAATGAGCTCCTTGAGGAGCTGGCGGAGTCAGCATCCCTGCAGGTAACTTAGTGCCGACGTGGTGGTGCTCGACCTCAGGCTGGGCTCGGTGACCTCGGAGTCCTTTTCCATCCTAACCCAGCCGGCATTCCCCGGGCTGGGGGCCGGGTGCGAGCCCGGGCCCGCCCCAGGGGCGGCTCCGCGGGGCGGGCGGGGCCGCGCGGTCTCGGCCTCGGCACCGCGGGGCGGCATCGCGGGGAGGCGCCGCTGCCCTGCCCTGCCCTGCCCTGCCCTGCCCGGCCCGGCCCGGCCCGGCCGCCGCACGGGCACCATGCCGGCCGCGACATGAGCCCCGAGCCGGAGCCGCCGCCAGCCCCGGCCTGGCAGGCGGAGGAGGACGAGGAGGAGCCGCCGCCGCCGCCATCGTCGTCGTCATCGTCGTCGGAGGGCGGCGGTGGCGGCGCCAGGTGGGGCGGCTGCATCATGCTGGTGCGGCGGGTCGGCCTCAAGGCGGGCGGCGGCGCGGTGAGTGCGGGGCTGGGGCCGGGGGCTCCTCGGGGCGGGGGGCGGCGGCGGCTTCGTGCGGGCCCTGCCGGCCCTGCGGCGGCGCTGCGGGCCAGGCCGGGCGGGCAGGGGGGACCTGCGCTCACCCCGCCCGTGAGGGGCCGGCTGTCCCCCTGATTCTCCCCTGGTTACCCCCTGGTCACCCCCGGGGGAGCTCTCCGGATTCGTGCCCCGCTCGTCCCCCGCGGCCCCGCCGCGGTCGTTACGAGCTTGCCGGGCGAGCAGCCGCTCCCGGCAGCAGGTGGCTGTAAAACAACGCTTGTCCGCCCGAAAGGAGCGATCCCGAGGTGGTAGGAAGGTAATAAAGCTTGAGTTTTCCCTCTGGGGTCCCAGGAGGTTGCCCCCTTTGAGGGCTGAAGTGCTGCAGTTTTTCGTGACTTAGCGCGCTTTCTGTTTCGTCTCTCCGCTCTGGGCGCTAAAAATGCGAGTGACGGGAGCCGGAGGGGAGCGATCTGTGCGCTCGCCTGAAAGCATCTCTCTGAGGAAAGTTGCATTTGTTAAGCGCGGCGGCGGTGCGTAATTTCTTCCCATCGAGGGGATTAAGCCTGCCCCTCCATACGTGTGTGCTCGTAGGTGCCCTGAAACCAGGCCAGGGATGACACCTCGTGAGCTTTCTGCAGTGAGTGGGCACGGGTGCCTTGGTTCGGGCGGGATGCTCCTGGCTGAGGCGATACAGCCCGTCCTGTTTTGTTGGCAGCGACGCCAGAGCTTAATGTGGGGTAGAAGAACCCACATAGCAAAATAGATGATCCTGTCTGTAATAGATTGTTAACTTTGTTCATAAAATCTTATGTGTATGAGGGAATAAGGAACTTTTGTTATAATTCAACAAGATAAGTTTCATGGACGTTAATTAAGCAAGTGTCCTGTTAATTAAGCAAGTGTCAGTAAAAATAATTGCAGACATCTTGCTAAACAAACAAGTATCAGTATTGGTAAAATTTACAGCTGATAAGAACTGCAGCTTTCATTTTTGACAAATCCCAGATGACCACTTAGCAGTGAACCACGAACTCAAGCCTCAACGCAGCCGCATTCAAAACTCGGGACTTGGAAATGTATAAAAAGGAACATTTACTACATTTTCGGTGTGTGTCTCGGGCGGGGCAATTGCCCCCCAGGCCACCCAGCGCTGTTTGCTTTATTATTGCTTGCTTAATAAATTTATCAATTTTTAATTAGAATTGAGTTGTCTAAATTCTTATAATAACTTTTAACACTGTCGCTGACAGTTTTTGAAGGCGATGCCTTGCCGTGCCTGAATCTCTTTCGGCAAGTTGAAGTCACTCAAATGTTTTTTCACAGCCCGACTTGCTATCTAGTAATAACTTTTTTTAGAGTACATACATGTTCGTGTTCATGTGTTCCTGAATGATTTAATGTTGGTTTACTCACAAAATAAGGCATGCTGAAAGCAGTGCATATGCCAGAAGTTGTAAAACAGTATAAAGTTTGTGTCAGGGAGGCAGTGACTGCTTTGTGTGTCGCCTGCCCTGCGAGAGAGGATAGCGCGCTGTTTTATGTGAACGTGAGTGAGTATGTTTAACTGAGCATTAACGGTGTAGCATTAACGTGATCCTGGCTGGGGCTCAAGAACGTAAAAACAAAAAAAATCTTGGCACCAAATGTTTGACACATGTACGTTCTTCGGACGTTACTTGTATTTGATGGACAAGTTAAGGTACTTTTAATACATGAATAAACCAGAGAGGACGTGGGAAAAAAAAAAAGAAAAAAGAAGTTATTCTATGGAATTCGTTAGTCAAGTAATTTATTTTTCTGTAAGTTAATTCCAAAATGATTGCTTCACGCTTCTTGTTACCCATCAGTTCTATATTCAAGTCTTTCAGTTATTTATTTGGAAGTGGTTGCATCTTTCGAAAAGCAGATCTGACGCCTTCAAGAAGAGCAGCTGTTATCTGCTGTGTGGTATATTGGCTGTTCCAGGCTTGTGTACAGGACTCTAGTGTATATAAGGTGCAGTAACCTAGTCTGAAGTCAGACTAGGAAAATGACTTTAGAAGAGTCTAAAGAGTTAATGTTTTAATTAGGAAACACAAGCTTTCCGTTTTATCCGCTCAGATGATATAGTGAAAGAAATAGAGGCTGATCCCAGTATATAGAAGAAAACCAGTTGAATTTAGTTAAGTATGAACAGAGAATAAGAAATGGAAGATAGAGGTAGGAAGATTTTAGAAAATACCAAAGGACTTCTTTCTCTAACTTTGAGAAAGCTCAAATGGAAATTCAGTCCGTAACTGACGAAGTCAGTAACCTGTTCTTTTATTAATGGGTGGAATGTTTGTTACAGTTGGATTAAGTGTTAAAAGAATGCTTTTGAGTACTTGAAATATGTTCTCCTGTCAGTTTGAAAATTTAGCTTCTAAATGATGTAAATTCTTGATTTTTATAAAATGATCTCAGGCTTTGCTTCCTGGGTTTATTTGTTGCCCCCCTCCCTCCTAGTTGTGCGCTTAGAGGACTTTGTGTTCCTGTGAAGGATCTCCTGCAAGAGAGAAAGCACTGGGGCTCTAGCCTTATCTTTTGTACATTTGTATAGCAGCAGTGCAATTATACTTACATCATCTTTGGGTCTGCGTCTCAGTTCCTGACTGAACAGTCTGTTTCCTGCTTTCTTACTGCGGTCCCTGCACCTCCCTGTGATTCTCATGTGGCTGTCACATTGCTAAAACTCTCTCTGCTTGGACTTCATTGAAAGAACTTATTCACACTAAAGCATGAGGGGCAGGATTGTAGCTTTGGATGTAGTTGCAGAGATCCGTTTGATATCGGTGGGAGTGCATCCCTGACACCTGAAAGGGGAAGCTTGCTGCTTGATCTGCTGCTAAAGAAGTAAATACGGAAGTGAAATTTGTGTGAGCTGCGTCTTTGGTCTTTGAGGAATGTCTCAATTTTTTTATTTTCATTATTACTCTTCTGTCGCATCAGATTGGTAGGAGAAAGAGGAAGAGTATGACCAAGTCTGTCAGGGCTTTCTCCTTTTGCCCCTCCAGCCTGGGCATAACAAGCTTCTGGTTTTTGATTTATCTGTAACTAACTTCATCCTGTTGAATGCACTAGCTTCTGAATCGAAGAACTAAAATATAAATGCTGAACAAATGACTTCTTATGAATTGAGCTACTGGTTTAAAACTAGTAAGAACAATAGTAATGTTGAAGTAAATTCCAGTGCAGTTAAATCAGTTTTCATTGGCTGTATTACCATGATTTCTGTAAGCTTCAGAAACTGAAAGAAAGGATGCCGTGGGACATTTTGTTACTGGTTGTGCAATCTTGTTACGTCAGAATTGTGAACACTGATAGTATAAAACTTAGTGAGATGTTGAGGATATTGACCCCACACACTTCATTTCTATGCACCCTATTGTCGGTAAAATAATGCCACACTAAGGAAGCTTTTCAACAAAATACAGTACCATACTGTCTAAATCAAATGCTTTTATGGGAGAAGTCCCCAAAGGGGATATCAGAGAAATCATACACTTTGAGAATTAATCACACCTGAGTTTAATGTTCTGGGACGCTATAAAATGCCCTAGCTATTGTGAAGCCCGAGACCTTTATATTTTTTAGAAACATAGTGAAAGCATTCTGAACTGTGCGTGTTGGAAGTATGCCAGCCTTTATTATCTAAGCTGTTTTACGCAGCAGTAAGTTTCTGGTTCTCACCCTTACTGCTAGCATCTTTCTTTTTAATATTTCATTAAAAAAATACACTACAGTGAAACTGAGGCAGCGTGATTTAATGTTACGAGACTTTCCTGAAAGAGCTGTGAGTTCAGTAAGCTGGTTTCTTAAATTTCTTGCTTGTAAGATTTAAATTGGATTGCTACTAGTAAACACATTGTTCAGTTGTCACTGTGGGTATTGAGTCCTTTATGCAGCACTGTTGTCTCCCACGCAAGTTATTTTTCATGTTAAGTAAATCTGAATAATTAGAGATGAACACGTGCCTTCTCAAGGTGGCCAGTGTAATCCTGAATCTTCCCATCCTGTTAAATTGATGCTGAGTCTGAAGTGTTGTGGGAGTGAATAGCTGCTCTCTTTGAAAACAAGTCACTCTGGCTTATATTTACACTGAGAGGGCCCTTTTGCTGTTAAGAGTCTACTGTTACTGACCCTCCAAGTTCTAGTTATGTGGAAAGTTTTGTGTTCTGAGAGAAGTACACTAGGCTACAGCAACAGAAGCTTTATATAATTATGACTTGTAATTTAGTACTGCAGATCCAACCCTACCCACTGCACAATGAGCTCGAGTAATTATCTGCCCCATGGAGAACCATGTGAGTTAACTAAGCAGTGGGAGCTTTCTGGAGGAGTTCTCAGTGTCATATGTCTTTCTATATTTTAGGAAGAAAACTTCAGCAGTAGATAAATCAGCTTGTTATTTGGGGTAGCGTAATGTGCTGGTTATATGTTATTTCTGTAAGAAGTAGCTTAATTAGGCAATTAGTACTGTCTAAAGCTGAGCTTTCAGAATGTGGCAGGCTGTGTGGCAATTGTTTGTTTGGTTGGTCTTCCTCCCACAGTGGCCTCAGCCATGAAGACTGAACCAGAAATGGTGTTCATGTTTTACATGCCTTAGAAGATTCCTGCTTCATAAGCTTATCCAGCTTAAACTTTAAACAGGAATGTATTCCCAGGAGGAAATATAAAACAGCAAGATGTTTTAGACACCAAGTGTAAATTATGTGAAGTGCCACTTATTTCCTTGTGTTCCTAGTATAAGAAGGCAGTGACAATTGTTTTGCCACACCCTTCATGCCACTCCCGGTTCAGTGAATCCCAGTTGTAACTGCAGCTAATCTGACTGCAGCTTGGAGGAAGCTGCTTCGGCATTCCTCCGTACCTTTGGCAGCGTTCGTTTTCTTTCTGTTGGCCCCTTGGGGTTCTGTGAAATAGACGTTCAATAATGTGTATTGCTTAAAGCTTCTGAACGA